TTTCACTTTCCTTTCGTTGCAGGGTTTTCGGTAGTAGACAATTTTCTTTCTTCGCGAGATACGGTCAGTTCATTTATAATTGATGGAAAATTTGAGTCGCTGGGAAATTGAGGAATATTTCTGTGCTCTTGTCGATCTTGAAGTATTGATGGAAAATGCATATATCTACAGGGTGTTACATAAGTACGGTAAAATATTCAAGTGACGTATTTCTGTGACAATTTAAAAAAAATCTATACAACTTATGTCCGGAAATACAGGTTGTTGAAATTAATTTTTTGTTCGTTTTTTTTAAATAACTTTTTGCAAAAAAATAAGTTAATTGTACGAAATTTGATAACCTGGGTTTTTTGGCGTGGGGAATCATCGCTTCGTATTAATTTTTATGTAACATCTAAAGGGCGCTGTGGACGCTGTCATTATTTATTTCATATTGCCTTAAATTTTTTGACAGGGACTTTATGTACTTTTCATGAAAAAACCCAACTCCAACACCTACCTTTTCCAAGTAAAAAAAGGTACACTTGCTCAACAACGCTGGAGGTGTTCGTTTTCGAGATATTTACAATTTGAAGTTTGTAGGTGATTGAAATGGACACCAATATGTCTTGGCACAATCATGTCACTAGAATGTATGTAGCTCTGTCTCTAAGCATACCCTGAAGCTGCTGGATTCCATACAGAAAAGAGCCATCCGTCTGATTGGGGACTCGAATATCACTTGTTACCTTGATAGTCTGTAACATCGAAGAAAGGTTGGAGATTTGTCTCTCTTTTATAGATACTTTCAAGGGAGGTGTTAAAGTGACTTGGCCCATTTGATTCCACCAAAAGCGGTACATATCAGAAATACGCAACGGACTGTGGCTGCTCCTCGTTTTGGGGTTAAATTTAGTACACATCAAACTTCACTGCTTAAGAGCTCTTTTATCTTCATCTTTCATCTTCAACGATTCAAAACCAACGTAAATCGCAACTTTTAAAAAAATCGATGTATATTTCTGAGCTCCTTGGTCGCTGAGTGAAATTGCTGAGAACATTACAAAAACTAAGTATGCGGTGGATCTCGTCAAAATAAACATATTTTTCCTATAGAATATTTATCGAAAAATCATTCGTTTTCGAAATACATATTGTTGAAATTTTTCAAAACATGGTTGGTTTTTGTCGTAAGATTTTTGCAATTTTAGTTATTTTTGTCATAAAATTTTTAAAATGTTAGTTATTCGTATCTAGAAAACGAATGATTTTTCGATAAATATTTTATTGGAAAAAGTTTATTTCGACAAGATCCACAACATATAGTTTGTTTTTGTAATGTTCTCAGCAACTTCACTTAGCGCCTTAGAAGCTAAGTAATATGTAAGTGTAAGTGTTGTTGAAGAAGTGTACCTTTTTTTACTCGGAAAAAGTGTGTCAATTAGTTTTTTTTTATGTAAAGTGCCAAAAGTTTACTGTCGAAAAGTTTAGGGCATTTTGAAATAAATAATAACAGTATACGCAGCGCTCACGTCAAAAAAACCTGGTACCAAACTTTGTGCAAATAACTTATTTTTTGTTATTTTCAAAAAACTAATACAAAAATCAATTTCAACACACTGTATCTCCAAAACGAAGCATTTTCGGACACAAGTTTATATATAGACTTTTTTCTTAAAATTGTCTCAGGAATACGTCACTTGAATATTTTAACATACTTATGTTACACCCCGTATAATAACACCCCAATACCATTCGTCCTATACTCAGAACAACAGTTTTCAACTTTAACATAGGATTCTCTATTAACTAGGTATGACTGCATAAGTTCAAGCATATTTCCTCTAATTCCATTTGTGCACAGTTTTTGTAAATTAAAATCTAAAATTTATTACTATGTTACTTTTTTCATGTGCTAGTGGCCTAACAACTACCTGTTAGTACCTCTAACTTGTTATATATTTCCTCTATGTTAGTGTCTATCCCCTACATTTTTTATGCGTTTGAATTATTTTGTATAAGATCAAACCAAAGGGCTGCTCGAAAAATAACCTTTGTCGCTCATTCCACACTTTCCAAGCTTTTGAATAATAATAATAATAATTCTTTATTTCCAGTAGGGCAATGAAATTGTGTAGGAAGTGTCAATACAATACAAATT